AGGTCAGCCAGTCTGGCTGAGAAGAGCCTCCTCCCTAGGGGAGAGAGGTGGAGGCCATCTCTTTCCAGCAGCTCGCTGCCTCTCTCGCCAAAGAGCGGGCTGTGGTCATGAAAGCCAAAGCCTTCCCGACGACACCAGCGCCGCAGTCTTTGGTTGACTACGTGGATCCTCCTCTCCCTCCTCGGCCCATAGCCTGAGACTGGGAGGTGTATGCGTGTGTTGGCATTTTCATATATGACTATATCCTAGTACAATGATTCTCAGTTAGGGTGCTGCAACCTATACGTGATCCACATCCGAACATGATTCACAAGATAAACCTAAGATTTCAAATAAAACATTCTGACCTGTTAGGGTGTTTATGAGTTCACTGCAACAAATATTCCTCTATTGTTTTTCATAGTAAAAAATGAGTGAAAGCTAAAAGAGCTGGCTAAGAATCCAAAAAAGGTTGAGAACCACCGTCCCAGTAGTTAGTTCTGTAACATGCAGGTTAGGAGCCTATATAGAGACTGTAAGGGGCCTAATACAGAACTCAGTCCAAAGGATGGCTTTAAGACTGCTGCATCATTTCATACGTAAATCAGACAGCCCTGGAGATCTACCCCTGCCTGATCACTGGTACCTTGAATCTCACCAGTGCTTCATGCTATATCCCTAGGTTTTCCCCACTGTCCCTAGTATGCTTTCCTACATGAGGGTTCACGAGGAATTTCCCTGGAGGTAACCTGTGGCTATCTTAGTCTGGTCCTAAAGTGGGGAACTCCCTCTCAGCTTAATCTGGGGCTTTTAAGAGCCTCCTGTGACCCTTTACCTGGCATAAAGGGACAAGAGCCGGGGAGAACATCTCGCCCTAACTACCTAGGTGATGGTAAAACTAAACTGTTATCAACTTCCTATAAGTGTCCAAATAAGTTACAAGTACCAAATGTAAATGTAAAATGTCCCATAGTTCCTAGGGTGTTCTTGCAGCCTAAGCAATTTAAGCTAAGAAAGCAGCTGAATAAAAAAGAGGAGCAAACAGCTTTCACTGCAACAGTAAACGGCATATTCAGTCTTAGATTAATTTAAATTAGGCACTCTGTAAGATTCTTCTCTTGCCATCTTTCTTCATGTGGAACTGTCCTTTAGTCAAACTTTTCTTTTTTAATTAAAAAAAAAAATACAGCTTGCATTTTTTCATTTTATGTGAACTGCAGCTACATAAAGAACCCATATTTTTTAGTAATTTGTGTGCAGTTGTATCAGATACAGCCCAGTGGCTTAGTAATGCCTGGCTGTATGGAAAACTGGAGTTATAAGAACCAGTTGTTCAGTTTCTAGGGACTCATTGTTAACCATTTTTTCTTTTACAGAGTCTCACACTTCTAACACAGTTTGTTCTGTAACTGTTAGTGGGGAAAAGATGCCTAACATGTCTGCTGAAACGCAACTTCAGGTAAGTTTATTTTCCCCCCAGGTATTCTAATGTATTAAGACTTTTTTATCTGGAGAAAAGTATACATTTAGAGCTAACTGGGAAAAATAAATTTGATTGTGGTAATATAAATAACATAAATTTTTCTTGACATTTCAGGTGCTGCACTCAGCTCTTTTCACATTTGATTTAATAGAAAGTGTTCTTGCCCGAGTTGAAGAACTCATTGAAGTGAAAATTAAAGCTGTGACAGATGAAAATATTGGGGTCAAATGAAGAATTTCTCCCTCTAAATTCTAATGATCCTTTCACTTTTGCAGTACATGAAGACATTGGTCATTGTATTTTACTTGAAAAGAATGTTACCAGCTTTAAAGAAGACTGTTGAGAGTAATTTATACTGACTGCTATAAGAACTGCAGCTACTGCCCTTTATATGATTTTTTTTAGTTTTCTGTAACATGGAGCTAGACCATCTACTTTTTTTAAAATCAAGTTATACTCTGGCACTAGCTACAGTTTTGCTAACATTTAGAGACTGAACCTGCTTGGCAGGTGATGTTTGGATTTTGTTAACCTTTGAAAATGAGAAGATTCATTGTTTGTTTTCCGGGGGTGGGGGGGAGGGGCAGGTTGTTTGTTCTTTCTGTGCATAGAAGTGTTGTTGTATTTGCATTACGTAGAACCTGTTAGGGAATATTGATTGACTAATGTGTGTATTACAAAGGTATTTGTAAAGTGTTTTCAGATCCACAGGTAAAAAGTACTATATAAATGCTATATATTATTATCCCTGTTACTAATATGGGCAACCAGCCTTCTAGAATACTGAAAACTTGGCTATAAATCAGGACTACCTACACTAGTGATCAAAATAGGAATGAAGACAAGTGGAAAACAATCTTAGAGCAAATAAGATAAATTTAGAACTTTTCAATCAGTGGTAATAGACATTTACAGCACAGTAAATACAATTTTAGTAAATAAAAACAAGAATAGATTTCCCTGCATAATTAACTTGTATAACATGGTCTTAATAATACACGCATGTTAGAACCTGTGAGAGTTCTCCCAAAGATGTTTAAGGGCTTGAAAATAATAGATGAGTGCAGTCAAACTAAAGGTTTTTTATTTTTTAGTACAATTGCACTGAACAGAAACCCCCAAAATCAACCGCCAGAGTTTAAAATAAGAAAAACGTCCTTTTTCTTCAAGACAGTAAACTTGGTAAAAATACTCTGTTTTGCATTGAATAAAAAAACTACAGGCATGGACACGAGCGTGTTGGAGCAGACTCTATTAGTTGAGTCTGCTGGAACATGGTAATTACTGTGCTCTAACAGCCTCCTGCATCTCGTTCCTCAGCCTGTACTTCAAAATGGCAGTGGGGGTACTTGAACTAAAGCTCGTTGAACAAACTTTAGTTTAAGCCCCCCCCCTACCACTTTAAAGCATAGGGACACTGATCTACGAGACACAGCAGAGTTTTAATTAGAGCAGCTCCTGGAGCTGCTCTAATTAAAGCACAGGCCTTCCCACCCCCAGGGCACATGTAAAAATGCCCTACATATTTTCAACTCAGAAGCATTGTATGCTTTTTAACATTTAAATTTACACTTATTTTTCTGCTCTGATGTTGTATTTTTAATGGAAAAGGGAGCATTTGTATTTTGTTCAGAAATATAACTGCATAAATTCTGAATAGAAATAATGATGCTAAATTAGTTGCAGTCCAACTGGATTTGATGAAGCATTTTCCAAACTGAACTCTGTTCTATAATCTGAGCTTTTGCCGTCATCATTCTGTAGCAAATATTGTCTACGTGTGGTTTAGAGGTGGTCTTAAAGGAAAAAGTAAATGCCTTAATTAGAATAAAACAGCAAGGGGAGAGTAAAGAAATACTTCAAAATGTAAAAATACTTATATTGGGACTGGGACTACATTTTCAGAATGTTTGACAGTAGAGTAAGTAGATAAGTCTGTTGAGGTGCCAGGTTTATTCTAACATAGGCATAAGACTGCTCTTGTTGCTGCCTGACTGTGCCTCCTAATTTGGATTAAGGAAGGGTGGCATAAGAGTGTTTATGCGGGTACTTCTCCATCTGGGAGTACTCTTAAATTAAAATTGTCTTCGGGTAGCCAATTAAGTTGGCCTTCTAAATGCTTACCACTGATCAAGCTAAGGGGCAAGAATCTGGCTTTAAGATTTAGAATCACAGTTCAATAATCATACTATTTACTTGAATGCAAGATGAGGTTCCCCCCAGTTAGCATGAGAAAAATGCCCCTTGTTTTATAATCGCATACAAGGAAATCTCATTAAATACACTATCTATCATTAAATTGCTGTCAAAAGCAGCATGTGCTCAGCAATGGGAACCAACTATGACATGGACTGAATGTAGCCAACACTGAGCATGACCACAAAACACATGGCCCACATTGGGCAAACATGCTGATGGGAACCTACCAGGAGAATAGGTTAGTATAGCCCATCTTGAATATGACATACAATAGTGCCCATTAAGCGAAGTCCTCCTCACTGCTAACTCTTTTAAGTCATGGTGAGCTATGACATTTTGTACAGTTCACCCAGAATTTCTGTGTTGCCTCCTCTCTCAGCGTAGCACACATGATTAGTGTGGCCCCACCCTCCAAGAGGTGAAGCTGGACCAGGTTGCCCTGCATCTCCTCTGCACATACATTTTTGAACCATCTCAGGACTTGTGACAAGAACATTTGGTTCCAGTCGTAAGTGGGAGCTAATTAGCACATGGATCATTTGTGGGGAGTATCTGGAGAATGCAGATATACTAAGTAGTGTTGAGCTATGGCCTCTCGTGAGGCCCAGCCCAATTAACTATATAGTAAATCATGAGCCTTTGGCTTTGGACTAATATGCATAGTTTGTAATATGAAACTGGGATGTTAATGTAGATCAAATGCAGGTTTTAAGTTAAAATTTAAAAGATCAGCGTGGGCCTGATTTTATTTAAGACTTCTTAATTAACATTGAATTGTTGTTGAAAATGGGAACTGATTGTACTAGTGGTTCCCAATCTTCAGCCTGCGAGGCCAGATCCAATACACAGGGTTGGGGTAGGATGTAGCCAGATCTAGCATGTGAGGTTGGGCTGTGCATGGTGTTGAGCTGATGCATGTGGTCAAATCTGGCACATGGTTAAATATGGCGCGTGGGCTCAGGCCAGCGCTGGTGATGGTGCCCATGGATTGATGCTGTGGACTGGCCTGGTACCACTTGCCTGGCCTGCAGGACCAGAAGGTTGAGCATCACTGGATTGTACAATAGGAGCTAGAAAGGTATAGTGGTCAGCATTCAAATAGCATACAGCAGTCATTGTTGTAAATAAGATACTGCAGATAGTTTTATGGATTCTAAAACAGGAAATAACTGCAAAAAATTGTAATTTGGAAAATACTGATTATTTTACATGGAGCCTTTTATAAAAAGGATAACATGCAAATTAGTATCTGATTCTAACACTAAATCATGTACTCTGCTACTACTATTAATTTTTAGTGTATTATTGGAGTACTGTTCATATGACTGTTGTTGGCATTGATTCATTATTTCCATAGAGAAAAATGATTGGTAGGGATTTATATAACTCTTGTATGTGTGTTCATCCTTTCAGAGAAAATTCATGTTTACATAAACATGCAGGATATGTGGCAAGCAGTTGCACAGATAAAAAGGACATAAACAGCACTATTGCACTTGTTAGGCTTTATAATTAATATTAAAAGAATTAAAATTGAAATTCACAAGTTGCTGCATTTGTTCAAATGAAAAATTTTGACTTCAAAAGGCATTCAATATTTAAATCTCATTTGGATTGTATACTTTTTTTCCACCTAGTAAATAAATAGAACCACTCCTGACTTATGGTATACGAGGGCAAAATTAGGTCCCAGTGTTTTCATTCATCTTTATCCATGCTTAATAGATTCATAGATGCTAGAGTCAGAAGGGACCTCAACAGATCATTGAGTCCAACCCCTTGCCCTGGGCAGGTAAGAGTGCTGGGGTTAGAGGACCCCAGCCAGATGCCCATCCAGCCTTCTCTTAAAGACCCCCAAGGTAGGGGAGAGCACCACTGCCCTTGGAAGCCCATTCCAAGATTTGGCTGCCCTCACCGTGAAGAAGTTTTTCCTGATGTCTGGCTTAATTCTGCTCTCCGTCAGTTTGTGACCATTGCTCCTTGTTACCCCAAGAGACGCCCTGGTGAACAGAGCATCTCCGGTTCCTTGCTGCACCCTGCTAATGAATTTGAATTCAGAGGGCCACAAGATCACCTCTCAGCCTTCTCTTGCGGAGGCTGAAGGGGTCCATGTCCCTTAGTCTGTCCTCATAGGGCTTGACCTGTAAACCCTTAACCATACAAGTGGCCCTCCTCTGGACCCTCTCGAGGTTATCCACATCCTTCTTAAAGTATGGCACCCAGAATTGGACGCAGTACTCCAACTGTGGCCTGACCAATGCCACATAGAGGGGAAGTATCACCTTGGTTCTATTTGTCATTAATCTGCTGATGCATGATAAAGTGCGGTTAGCTTTGCTGATGATTTCACCACACTGACGACTCATGTTCATCTTGGAGACCACTATGACTCCAAGATCCCTTTCCGCTTCTGTGCTGCTGAGAGGGTCATTCCCTAGCCAGTAGGTGTGCTGGATATTTTTATGCCCTAGGTGCAGCACACTGCATTTGTCCTTGTTGTACTGCATCCTATTGTGTTCTGCTCACTTATCCAACCTGTCCAGGTCTGCCTGCAATCGTTCCCTACCATCCAGAGTGTTCACTTCCCCTCACAATTTAGTATCATCCACAAACTTGGACAGAGTACACTATACACCCACAAAAGGCCTTTTAAAGCTACCATTAACAATGGTTTAAACCAGGGGCTGGCAACCTTTGTCTTGCCAAATCATTTAATCTGGCCTGCAAAGCTGGTATATTGGCGAGATTCAGTGGGGGGAGCAGTAGCCCAGCTAGAAGTGCAGCAGCAGTGATTTGGTGGGCTGGGAGGAGCACCAAGCTACAAGCAGCAGCCTGCCTTCAGATCCATTAATTTGGCCTGCCACTCCTGAACTGGGTTGCCAATGCCTGATTTAAATAGTTAATATTTACACAACTAAAACATCCAGCTTCAACTAATATTCCTGGTATGATAGATATTGTAGGAACTTTGATCACTGTGACAGTAAGGCACAAACAGTTACAGACAAAAATTAGCTTTGCAGGTTCCTGCTTTTTTGGTAAATGTGTTTTAAAAACCTTTTTATGAGATAATGTTTGTATGTCGGTAGACTTACCTTGGCTATAGTTAGCATGAGCCGAACAGTTTCAGAAGCATTATGGACTGGAATTATCCGTAAATTACTGCCCAGGAATCTACACATGAGAAAAAAATAGGATTATTTTTAAGATGTCTATTTACTGTACATTACAGCATAGGGCTAAAAAATGTCATATTGTAATGGTGGTGAGTAGGTGGTAGAAGAATGCAGAGAATTGTTTTCAAGACAAATGAAAGGGTGACACTAGTTATACGCCCTTTTCCCTGTACATATCCCCTCTTATTATAGTATTTTTCTGGGTTTGTCTCAGAGAGAAACTCCATTCCATCTCTGAAGAGCTTAGCAAGAGCTCCAAGTACCCTTTCCTTCTCTTAGGGCAAATCTTCCTCAACAAGCACAAACCCAGAGAGGACTGAAATTAAGAATTCTTCTGCTCTGCCAGTTGCAGAAGAATTGCAGTTTACTGGTAATGTTCAAAAAGCCAGTGGACAGTTAGATTTGTGGAGGCTGGTAACAGAGCACAGTAAGGTGTCAGACAACACTAAGCAAAAAGAATAGTTCAGAATCTGAACTGTAGTATTACTGCAGACAACCATTCAGACTTAACATTACATGTCAGTGCCACACAATTAAAATAACAGAATAATCCCAACAGCCTGTCAAGATTATAGAGTGAAATTCTTAAAATACAATGCCTAATGTCTGAAACTATATTGCTCCCATAGCTATTGTATTGAAAGTCCAGTTTGGTCATCTTATATGTTGAAAGTGATCTAGCAGTTATATTAGTAGGCCTGTGTGAAATGCCTGTGTTTCATTTCGGTTTCAGATTCAGCTGTTTTGGAGGACAGTGATTCATTTTGGTGTTGCAGATTACTGTTATGTTTCTATTTGGCTGAATCTGTTTCGGAGTTTCAACACTGTTTTGAAGATTCAGATCGGTTGGGGAGAGGCAGGCACATCCAGGCAGCTGCAGGTTCTCCCGTGGCTCCTCCGGCTGTGCCTGCCTCTGCCCCGGCAGGGGGAGCCACGGGAGAAGCCTTCATGGCTGTCCTGCCCAGCCCCAGCCTTCCAGCACTTTAACAAAACAAAACAAAACCAAAAAAAGCCCCACACTCACCGGCTGCAGCAGCAGCGGTCAGGGCCTCTGAGGGCTCGTGGTAGAGCCCCCCCACACAGCGTGAGGCAGTGGGGGGCAGGGGGGATTGCACACCCACTTGGCACCTGGGTGGCAGTTGTCGCATCGTGCAGGTGCAGTACGGCTTGGTAGGGTGCTGTGCAGTGTCTGGGAGCTGGGGCAGTTCCAGCAGTCAGCTGGAGCCTAGCATCGCTCAGCCCCAGCGGCCCCAGCTCCCAGACAATGCACAGTGCCTTGCTGAGCCACACTGCACCTGTGCCATGGGGTGCCCCGCGCTGTGTGGGGGAGTTCTTTCATGAACCCTCAGAGGCCCCAATCGCTGCTGCTGCAGCCAGTGAGTACAGGGCTTTTTCTCTTTTTTTTCTTTTTTTTAAGTGCCAGGAGGCTGGGGCTGGGCATGGCAGCCATGGGGGCTTCTCCTGTGGGCCGAAACATCTGAAACGAAACGGCTGCCAAAATTTTGCACAGCCCTACTAGACAGCTATGAAACCTAATCCCATTCTTAGGAGTTGCTACTGTAACCAGTACATAGGAGGGACACTGCTTCTGTACATCATATCTTCCAGAAATAAACAGAACTTGATTCACCAACTCCTAGTCCATCACCTTTCATAAACAGCACATACAATGACGCTTCTAAGAAGACTATTCAAGTCAAAATTAGTTACTCAAACAGGTATCAATGAAATGTGGGCAAGCAGGCTGAGAAGCTTAAAAATTTTAGAAACTTTGCAAAGAGTTCCACTTTCCTTGATTAGGGTGGGACAACTGGAACAGCTTCCCCAGGCGCTGACTAAAGGAACACACAAAAAACAATGCTGCTGCAGAGTGCGGATGCACAATCATGCTGAGTGTGGTGGCAGCTGGAAGTTGCTACTACCCCTGTGTCACAGCTGGTCTGGGCATCCAGACAGTGTTACTCCTCTGGTTTACTTAGTAGAACTGAAGTACCATAGCAGCCAAAAGTGATTAGTTGTGGTAACTTGGATGAGAAATGCCTTGAAGTAATCACTGTTTTAATCCAAATTAGCACCCAGTTGTTCAGATGTGTACTCCTTCGTTTCTCTCCTTTTTATGGTTACTACCTGCTCTTTCTTCCATCAATCTGCCTGATAAACTGGTTTTATTCACATTCAGACTGCTGATGTTTGCTAAAATTATCTGAAGCTGGAAGTTCTTTTCCTTTGGTGCAGGAAGAGAAAACTTTTACAAAATGTCCTTTTCCTGCTTCAGTTTGCCTGGCTGCCTCTGCTAGATTTGTCTCCAGTCAGATTAGAATTCTCTGTATTCTGGATGGAATATGCATGAAATTCATCTTGATTTCATCTTAGACCTGGGTTTCAGTCCATGCTTTTAGGCTTATTTCTGCTTTAAACCAATGACTGCCTAATGCAATAGGCATCATGAATCCTGAGAACAGTGTCCAGAAACCTGTTTCCAACTAGCTACCAGTAGGTATCCCCAGGCTTTCTGGATCACCCTTTAGAGGTATCCTAAGTCTTCCTATTCCTATATCAAGATCCTAGGTACTTGCACCTGATGAAACTGAATTTGGGGGGGGGCAACCTCCAAATGAGGACTTTCTATACTGGAAGCTGTAAGTTAGGGCTGTCCAAATGGTAGCCTGAAGACTGCACCTACAAGAGTTTAAGTTGTGGCTCCTATCCTACCACCACTCCCTCTATTGCTCCATCTGAAACAGGAACTGGAGATTCCAGGTTTTCCCACACCCCTCTCCTCTAGGTCAGGGCAGGAGGGCATCGCCCAGCACAGGAAACTCAGGGTGAGGCCAGGGCCATGCAGTGAAGAGGCTGGAGTGGGGCACCGGTGCAAGCACATGCTGCAGCAGCAGGGGGGAGAAGGGGGGGGGGGGGGGGGGAGGGGGGC